GAAGGAATAGCCTACATTAAGCATAAGGCAAGAAACGTAAACATAACCTGATGTGGAATAATAATTTGTATTGTCAAAGCTCATAGAATTCACAAACTTTATTGAGCATGAAAATGATAATTTTCCTTGTGTAGTTTAAAACATGTTTATGACTTTAACTATCATGCTTCCACAATACTGTGAAATATATGAGTAAAATCTAATTACTTATTGCAATTTAAAAAAAAAAAACAGTGGGAGAAAGGTTGGTTTAAGAAGGATGGGTGATAATATTGTCAGCCCCCTTGTATTCATAGGCTGTTTTGTAGAATGGGAACTTGTTTATGCAATGGCTTAAAGATAATAAAAATAAAAACATGTTTAAACAAATGGCCTTACACACTTAAGTAAGATATAATTTTGAACTCAGGTTTCGTGAATGCTGGCAATTTTAATTGTTTTCCCAGCCTGTGGTTGTTTTTTTTTTTTTTTTCCTTTTTATCCATATTTGTGTTCAAAAGCAAACAACTTAGAATTTATTATCTTTTATAAACACTGTATTAGCATTAGCTAGATAAATAAGTGGATTTCATTTTGATATATCCACATAGGCATACAATGTACCTTGATTATACTAACCCCTTCATCATTCTCATTCTCCTCTCTCAGGTTTTATTATCTTAATCATTTTAAGAATACTGCATAGTTGTAGTAAGTACATTTACAATATTGTACAAGTTCAAGGTCCACACTATTTTCACCTTCCACGATGCAAATTCTATATTCATTAAAACAATTTTCCACTCTCCTCTGCTTCAAGATATGCATCAAGTTCGATTTTGTTTCCTGTCTCTATCAATTTTACTGTTCTGTGTAAATGATATAAGTAGAATCATGTAATATTTGATCTTTTTATGACTAGCTTATTTCACTTAGCAGAGTGTCCCAAAGATTCATCCATAATGTATCATCTGTCACAACATAAATTCTTTTTGGGACACTGTTGATTAAATCCTTTGGTGCATTCTTATTTGTGTTTCCCTACAATGAATAACCCTTCTCTGATGTCAGTTTCCTGTATGGCTTCTGGTCCTCTAACTATGAACCATCATATTGATTTACACTTCTGTTATTGTAACTGTGAACTAAAGCTACATAATTATGCTCTGGTTGCCAGTCTACTTCCACTTTTGGATCTCTCTCCTTCAGCTTTTAGTAAAGGCCTTGGGGAATATCCACAAATTATTAGGTACTTAAAAACCTGTAGAACGTTACAGCCCTAAAATTTAGTTAGTTCTAATGGGAAATATGTGACTTTCAATTACATTTTTTTCCTTTTTGTAAGTTTTTGATTGTAAGAATACAGAGGAGTTACAGTTACATAAGCAAGGTAATGAGGACTTTTCCTATGGAACATTGTTGCCTCCTCCGGGCAAATAAAATGAAAAGTAAGAGCTTCATAATATAGAATCACACCAAAATTCTAGGTATATATTTTTCTTCATATGAGTATTTAGAATTTTGTGAAGCTAGAGATCTAAGCTACTTGAAATTTAATAATGAACTTGTCACATTTTTAAAGATGCTAGGCGATTTTTGATGTGTGTATATTTGTGTCTGTGTGTGTATTTATATATTTGAAGTGAATCTCCCAGCCCTCAGTGCCACTAAGTAAAGATATCCATGTGAAACCTATACAAACAATGGATTGTGACTTGGAGCAACTACGATCTCTATAATGAGCAATAGGCATGCCTGAACTTTACATTGGAGGATGACAATAGCTGAGGAATAGCTTGTAAAAATATTCTTGAAAATGTAATATAGAATATAGAGGAGTTAGTGTTCACGTCTAGATATGCAAGTACTTGAGACTGCCATGGAATTTTTGTTTTTCTTTTGTTTCTTGAAGGTTCCTAGCTACCAAGACCAACACATATTTCTCCTATTAAGTACATAGCTCTCTTTAAAAATGAGGCATGACAATTTATTGAGAATACTTATTCTTTTTCTAGGTCTAAGCCTTAAGTTGAAATAGGGACTTCAATCCTATCCAGAGTACAATTCAACAAAAGAAATTGATGGAGTTCAAATTTTACACATCTAGAAACTTTTCTCTTAGAGCCATTTCTTAATGCAGGTGTGGAAGAAATTAAGGGAAAAATACATCCACAAATATATTTTAAGAAGATATTCTATGCATTTTAACAGTAATAAAGGATTACATTTCTGTTTTTTAGTGTGTGCATATTTACAGAGTATGTGCAAAGAATCAAAGTTCATTCCAGGCCCTATCATGGAATAGAATGTAGCAAATTTTCTGTATTTATTTGTATATTTATAGAATTCACCTCTCTGACTTCTCTCCATTTTGATACACTAAGCACCTGTTTGACATATTGAAATACAAACATTATTTTTCTACCTACAGGATTCTTCACATTTTGCTGTCCACTAAATATACAAAAATTCATGCTCAACCCTCACCTTCAGGGAGCAATTCTCTATCCCAAGCAGCTTGTGTTTATCTCCACCCCTTTCGTCCCTGCTGTCAATCTAGGTGAGTGATGAATGAATTCTATAAGACAGAAAAGCTCTAGCCTTGAGCGAGCTGAGGGACAGCCCTCAGGCCCAGAGTTCAAGCCCCACAACCGACAAAAAAAAAAAGACAGTGAAGCTCGGTGAGTGATGACTGAATTCTATAAGACAAAAGCTCAGATAATTCACAGGCATGCAATTAGGATCCAATGGAACTTTCTTCACTTTGATTATACTTTATCACCATATTTGTGAGAACTTCCGCTTCCTTATTTGGAAACTGAGCAGACAAGAGTGAGTAGATGAATCTCATTATTTAAAATTCTATTCCTATCTCCTCCAGAGATTTTAGCATGAATGAATGTTGAATTTTATCAAAGGCTTTTTCTGCATCTGTAGAGATAATCATGTTATTCTTGACCTTGGCTCTGTCGATGTGTTGGATTGACTTACGTATGTTAAACCATCCCTGCATCTCTGGGATGAAGCCTACCTGGTCGTAGTGTATGATTTTTTTAATATGTTTCTGGCTTCTGTTAGCTAGCATTTTGTTAAGGATCTTTGCATTTGTGTTCAAGGAAATTGGCCTGTAGTTCTCTTTTTTCGTTGGGTCTTTGCTTGGTTTGGGGATGAGTGTGATATTGGCATCATAGAATGAGTTTGAGTTAGTTTCCTGCTTCTCTGTTTCTCTGAAGCGCTTAAGGAGTATGGATATTAGTTCTTCTTTCAAGGTCTTATAGAATTCCCTTGTGAATCCATCTGGTCCTGAGCTTTTCTTTGTTAGAAGACTTCTGATTGCTTCCTGTATCTCGTTGTAAGATATTGGCTTATTTAATTGATTTATTTCTTCTTTGCTCAGTTTGGGCAACTTGTATTTCTCTAAAAATGCATCCATTTCTGCCAGGTTTTCTTTCTTTAGAGAGTATAACTTTTGAAAGCAGTCATTAAAATTGTTTGGATATCTTGGGTACTTGTTGTGATTTTCCCCGTGGCACCCCTTAATATGGGTTTCCTCTCTTCTTTTCTTAATTAATCTTGCCAATGGTCCATCAATTTGATTTATTTTTTCAAAGAACCAGCTTTTTGTTTTGTTTATTTTAGCTATGATTCTCCTACTATTTCATTAGTTTCCACTCTTAATTTGGTTTTCTGGCTCCGTCTAGTAACTTTAGATTCCATTTTTTCATGTTTTTCTAGCTGTTTTAATTGCAACATGAGATTATATACTTGGTCTGTCTCTATTTTCTTGATGGGGGCACTGAGGGTAATAAATTTACCCCTCAGGACTGCTTTTGCTGTGTCCCACAAGTTTCTTTGTGATGTGTTTTCATTGTCACTGAGTTGTAGGAATTTTTTAATTATTTCTTTAATCTCTACTGTTTTCCAGGTATTACTTAGAAGTGTGCTGTTCAATTCCATGTATTTGAGTAATTTCTGCGGTATGCTTTGTTTTTAGGAACTAGATTGATTCCACTGTGGTCAGCTAAGATACAGGGGATTATTTCAATCCCCTTCTATTTGCTTGAGTTCCTTGCATGAATTATGTTATGGTCTATTTTGAATAAAGTTCCTAGAGCTCCTGAGAAGAATGTGTACTGTCTTGTTTTAGGGGAAATACTTGATAGATGTCAGTTCTGCTTGAAGTATATCCTCATTTAATTCAGTAGCTTCTATGCCAATCCTCTGGTTGGTAGACTTGTCCTTTGGTGAGAGTGGGGTGTTAAAGTCTCCTAGTATTATTGTGTTAGGATCTACTTTATTCTGTAAATTTGAGAGTATTTGCTTAACATATTTGGGTCTGCCAATGTTTGGGGAATATAAGTTAATAATGGTAATATCCTCCTCTTGGATTGTTCCCTGTTTTAATATGTAGTGTCCTTCCTTGTCTTTTTCTATTGATTTTAGTGAAAAGTTTATTTTGTCCGATATCAGGATTGCTACACCTGCTTTCTTACTGGGGGCATTTGATTGGTAGATCCTTTTCAAACCCTTCACTCTGAGTTTCTTTGTATGTTCGGCTGAGAATTGGGTCTCCTGAAGGCAATAGGTGGATGGGTCATGTTTTTTTTTTTTTCTATCCAATCTGCAGTTCTTTTTCTTTTGATTGGTGAATTTAGACCATTAATATTAAGAGATAGTATGGAAAGATGCACTGTGGTCCCTGTCATTCCTGTTTTCCTCAGTTTTTCTTCTTACCTTTCCTCCTGTGCTTGCTCAGTTAGACTTCTATTAATGCCTATCTGGGTGCGGGTCCCTGTTCCTGGTTGCTTTCTTTAGGTTGTGTTTCCCTTTATTAGTATTCTTTGTAATGCTGGCTTAATGTTTATGTATTCATTTAGTTTTACTTTGCTATTAACATTTTTCTGTTCTCTAGCAAATGTGAATGATAGCTTTGCCAGGTATATCAGCCTGGGTTGGCAGTTATTGCCTTTCAGGGCCCATGGTACTTTCCCAGGCCTTTCTTTCATTCAGTGTCTTTGTGGAGAGATCTACAGTGATTCTAATTTTTTTCCCATTCTATTATAGCTCCTTCTACATTTTTTCTGCATGCAAAATTGTTTTCTTATTATTCAGATCTATCATTTTTACTATAATATGTCTAGGAGTGATTCTCCTGGGATCTTGCATCTTTGGTGTTCTATATGCTTCTGTTATGTAGGTAAGATATTCTTTTTTGAGATGGTGGAAATTTTCACCGATTATCTTGGTGAATAGTTGTTGCAGTCCCTTGCTTTGATATTCCCCAACTTTGTGAACTCCAATTATACAAAGGTTAAATTTCTTGGCACTATCCACTTGGTCTTGGATTTCCTTTGGCATAATTTAAGTGATTTTTCCATATCTGTCATTTTTTGGTCTAGTTGGTGTATTCTGTCTTTTGGATCTGACACTAAATTCCAATTCGTTCACTCTGTTATCTATGGCTTCCATTGTGGTTTGCATGGAGGAAATGGACTCATTTATGCATTCGATGTTTGTTCTCAAACTACTGATCTCCCCTCTTAATGAGGTGTGTACTGCCTCTATTTTTACACTAATCTCACCTCTTAGTGAAGTGTGTGCTGCCTCTATTTTCGCATGCATCTCCTGTTTGATATCCTGCATCTCTTTTGATATTTTGACCCAGTGTTCTTTACATTTCTGGTCTATTTCTAGCTTTAATTCTTGAGTCATTGCCTCCAGCATCTCTTGAATGTAGCTTTTGTCTTCCATTCCTGCTTTGCTCCCACTGGGGCTCTACCCTGAAGTCCTGGGTTTGATTCCTCAGTAACACATAAACTAAAAAAGCTGTTAACCAAGCTGGGGCTCAAGTCGTAGAGTGGAAGCCTTCAGTGAAAGAAGCTCAGGGACAGTGTGCAGACCTTAAGTTCAAGCCCCTACACTGGCAAAAAAGAAAATCAGAATGAAATGTGTAAAAATATTTTATCACTACGTTTCTTTTTTTATGAGAAGATGAAAAAAGAAACAATTAAAGTTTATATATCCAAGTGATTTGGAGCATCCATACCCAATAGTGGTGTGTGAACCTATACAATGTTATCACCATATTGAAAAATTGATTGATATCTCCTTGTAGATGAATAAAAGTCCTCTGCATCCATATTGAATAGCCATAAATTACAATGTTTATCCTCTTAGCTTTAGCAGTTATCAGATTTTTATTGAAATTCCAGGTCTGGCATCCTTTTTAATTTCTTTTTATTTTTAAGATGATTTACAGGGATGCTATAGTTTTCACAACCTTTCTTTTTTTCTAAGTATAAAATCCAGACTTACCGTAAGGGTTTGGAAGAAGCAAAATGGCTTCTAGAGCACAGAGCTGATGACATGAAGGGAGGGAGAACATGTCCATAACTGGCCAAAGGAAGACAGAATTTGATGTTTCCTTAGTTTTTAGGTTTGAATGTATAGGAAAGAACCCTCAGGGTAAAGGATAGGTTAAGGACAAAACAATTCCTTGACTTCCACATCAAATGAAGCAGAATGTTCTCTTACATTAGTACACAGAAATGTAAAACTACATATTATCATATGTATATATTTAGGTTAATATCTGAAAAAGTTGCAGAAAATTGGTGTTGTTTATACCATTGATTACTACTAAAGGATGAGATTATAAGAGAAATGTGTTTTTTGTGTGTGTGTCTGTATGTGTGTGTGTGTGTGTGTGTGTGTGTGTGTGTGTGTGTGTGTGTGTGTGTGTGTGTGTGCATGCATGCACTTTGCCATAAGTGAGAAATGGAGTTTGAACTAGTCTTCTCAGTAATTTTAGTGTTTTTGTTCAAGGTTATTACTCTACCCCTTGAGTCACATCTCTATTTTTGGATTTTGTTTGGTTAATCAGATATAATTGTGTCTCAAAGTTTTTGACCAGCAAGCTTTAAATGAGAACCTACAAATTTCAGACTCCCTTGCAACTAGGATTAAAAACATGAGCCACTGGGGACTAGCAACTTTCTACATTAACCATTTTGGCATGCGTGAATTTTAAAGTAAAACAAATATAATTTTTGAAATAATAATGTCTAAAAGAACTAAAAACCAAATCTCAGAATGGGAAGTTACTGAATCCAGGACAAAATAAAGTTTTTAAATTGGGCACAGAAACAACTGCATTTTTGGAACAAGAGACCATCCATCAGGCTCCACAACAAGCATTATACATAGCAATTTCCACATTATGAAAAAAGAAAGTTTAATTATGGTTTAAAAATAATTTTAGCTTGGCACTGGTGGCTCATGGCTGTAATCCAAGCTACTAAGAAGGCTAAGATCTAAAGATCATAGTTCAAAGCCAGCACTGGCAAGAAAGTCCATGAAACTATTTTTTGCCAGACCCGGGCTTGAATTCCGGGCCTGGGCTCTGTCCCTCAGCTCCTCAACTCAAGGCAAGAGACCTACCACTTGAGCCATAGTGCCACTTCCGGCTTTTTCTGCTTATGTGGTGCTGAGAAATCGAACCCAGGGCCTCATGCATGCCAGGCAAACACTACCACTGTGCCAACTTCCCATAACTACATGAGATCCTTATCTCTAATTAACCATTGGAAAACCAGAAGTGACACTGTGGCTCAAATGGAAGAGTACTTGCCTTGAGTGCAGGGAAAATGTCCAGGCCCAGAGTTCAAGCCCCATACAAACTACTACTACTTCTCCTCCTAATAATAATAATAATTTTATGATATTGTTAATGTGTTGTATAGAATGGCTACCATTTCATAACAGTAATTTTCATTTTACAACAAATCATCAAAGAAACAACTGCCCAATAAATTAGTGGGCTAAAGACTTAAAGAGAAACTTCTCTGAAGAGGAAATACAAATGGCCAATAGACTCATGAAGATATGCTCAACCTCTCTAGCCATAAAAAGAAATGCAAATCAAAATAACATTTAGATACCACATCCCCTAAGTTAGAATGGCTATAATCAAGAACTCTAATAGCAGCAAATGCTGGAGGGGATGTGACCAGGAGGGAACCCTACTGCATTGTTGGTGGGAGTGTAATCTTGTTCAATCACTTTGGAAAGTAGTATGGAAGTTCCTCAAGAGACTCCACATAGAGCTCCTCTATGACCCAGCAATCCCACTTTTGGGCATTTAACCAAATTAAAACAAACAAGACCATACTAAAGCTACCAGCACAACTGTGTTTATTGCAGCATTATTTACAATAGCTAAGATATGGAACCAACCCAGATGCCCCTCAGTAGATGAACGGATGACGAAAATGTGGTATATATCCACAATGGAATTCTATACCTCCACTAGAAAAAAATGACATTTGAAAGTAGATCTATGGCAAGTGGTAGAGCACTAGCCTAAAGTAAAACCAAAACAAAACCAACAAAAAGAAGACTAGCACACATAAAAAAATCTGTGACATAAATTCAGTTCTGAGTGTTTCTGGTCCTCACCTCAGCTTCCTAATGGGATGCAAATATGGGAATTTAAATTATTTTTTATTTTTAAAAATAGATTAAAATTTTAATCATAATGAAGAATTTTCATATGGTCAAAAAATTATTAAATCTGGAAATGAGGCTAGCTCACTGTATGTTGTCATGTGCAGAAACTTATTGGTTGGATTTAAAACCCCTGTGTTAGTTTCTACTTGCCATGACATAATTTTGGTTCAAGTTAAAGTACTTGGCATAAAAGAAACCTTTATTTTTAAGATATGAAATCTCTTCATATATCACTGCAGTTGAGGACTGATTTCTATTGCGTTTAATTTGTTCATGTCACTCAATGATAAAGTACCATAAGATAACACATTCATTCACTCATAGCGTTTCAACAAAACTTAAGTAGTCTGGCTAGAATGGAGGGTATCACATGGGAAATGTAGCTTGCAAAATGGCAACAGAGGAAGGGGAGGGGAGAATTCAGATCACAGCAACTCACTTTGGTTGAATTGGTGTCCCTGATGTGAATGTTGATGTCAAAGACCTCACCACTAAGCGTTCAAAAGTTATGATGTAGGACAATCCCTTCCCCTCCACAGCTGTATAAAGTGAAGCAAACTCTGTGTCCTACTCCTGTAGCACAAAAAATGCTTACAACATCTTAAGGATTTGATTTTAGAGTATGACTATAACACTAGGAAAATTAAAAAATAAAAATCTGAAGTAATCTAATACACTGGAATAAACTATCCTTACGATGCTCTGCACAGTTGGAGAGAGATTAAAAGAGATATTCTTAATTCTGTGATAATTTCTATGACAGAAAATGATTACTTTAAACATTTTTTCTGGGACATCAAAGCTGGAATCTGAAAAGACATTGTTCCTAAAGCAAAAATTGAGAATTGTAACCCATACTCCACATCCCCTGAAATTAATTATTTTGGTCATGCAGGTTTATCAGCCAATATATAAAGACTCATACTTTTAAAATCATATCTTATTTGATATCAAAGCCTTTTTTATTTCAATTTTGTTTGTTATTTTGGGAAAAGAGTCTAAGATTTTAGACAGCTTCAGTATTAAGTCAGATAATTCATATCTAATATATTAGATCATAGCCTAATCATCACTGCTTTTTGAAAGCCTTGCTTTATTTCTAGACATTCCTATATTTTCCTTCAAGGTATCTGTCTAGCATTCTCTTCTTTTTTTCTGGTCCTGGGTTTTGAGCTGCTTTTATTCAAAGTTTGTGCTCCACCACTTGAATCACAGTGCCACTTCCAGATTTTTCTGTGATTAATTGGAGATAAGAGTCTCTTGGATTATAGGTGTGAGACATCAGTGCCCAGGCATTCTCAGAAGTGGACTGTGGCTCTAAGTTGTAGAGTACTAGCTTTGAGCAAAAGAGCTCAGGGACAACATCCAGGCCCTGAATTCTCACCCTATATCCAGAAAAAAGAAAAGAACAGAACAAAAGGGGTAGAATCTTTAAGAGATGATCATGGAGGAGAATGCTGCCCTCATAGACAGATGACTTCATTATGAAAATGATCCTATTGCAAAATCAGTTCCATCTTATCCTCTCAGTCTCTCATTTATGCTATTTTTCCTTTCTACCTTCCTTCATGGGGAGAGACAGAAAAAATACCTCAGTCACATATGTGAACGCAATGCTCTTGAAATTTCTAATACCGTAAGCCAAATAAAATTTCATTGCTCATAAATTAACCAGTCTTTGAGCATTCCCTTTATTTAAAAGTATGTTTTAAAACTTTTAAGACTTTCTAAAATAGTTATTTCAATTTTTATAAAAAATCTAAAATTTTAGCAAACCAAGCTTTAATTTTCTCATTTACAAGAAAACCAATCAGCATTCTAAGCTGGGAACCAGAAATCCATGCCTGTGATCCTTACTACTCAGAAGGCTGACATCTGAGGATAGAAATTTAAAGCTAGCATGGGCAGGAAACTCAATCCTGAGACCCATCTCCAATTAAGCTGCAAAAACACCAGAAGTGGAAGTGTAGCTCAAGGGGTAGAGTACCAGGCTTGGTTGGAAAAAAATTAGGGAGCCCACTGAGGTCAAGTTCCACTAAGGCCACACACACACACACACACACACACACACACACACACACACACACACACACAAATATATATTCTACCCTTTGGGTATTTTAATATACAGAACTGCAAAAATTGCTATGACTAAACAATAAGATTTTTTTTGTTGGTTATAGGACTTCACCTCTGTGCCTAGGCATTGTCCCTCAGCTCTTCAGCCCAAGACTAGTGCTCTACTATGTAAGCCACAATACCACTTCCAGGTATCTTGTGGTAAACTAGAGATAAAAGTCTCATGGACTTTACTGCCCAAGCTAGCTTTGAAGCATGATCCTCAGATTTCACCCTTCTGAGTGGCTAGCGTTAGAGGCATGAGGCCCCAGTGCCTAGCAACTATAACATTTCTAAAGCATGTATTTCCCTCATATATACAGCAATTCTTATATTGCTGGAAAAAACTAACTGATTAAGTTTTGATGACTTAATAATCTAGCTCCTCTAGCTAAGAAAAGAACTATAGATGTTTAAGATGTTTCATTGTAATAAAGAAATACCATAATTTTACCAGAAATAAGAAGCACATAGATTTTCTTACCTAGGCTGGTTTTAAACCATGATCCATGATGCTCAGATCTTAGCTTCCTGAGTTGCTAGGATTATAGGCATGAGCTACTGATACTCTGCTTGACTTATTTCTTTGATATGTACAAGACGTTATGTCAAAAACCGAACTTTACAACTTTGGCGGGGGAAGGGGTGGATGCGGGAGTGTAAGGCAGAATGGGGAGATGGGAAGGGATGGGAAGTGGAAAACAAAAGAAGAGGTAACAATGCTTGATATGTACTCATTACCTTGCCTATGCAATTGTAAACCCTCTGTACAGTATTTTCACAATAAAAAAATAACAAAGACGTTTACACTGGCTAGAAGAGAAAAAGCGACCAAATGTATTAATCAAAGGTCAGGACACTAAAAAGAATCATGTGTAAAATGAAAAATATCTGCCCTACCAGTGCTTTAGAGTTTAGCGGAGCTTACTTACAGGTAAATAGTAACTCCTAGATGCTCCATTATCACATGCTACTACTTCTTCCATCGATCTCTGGGTACACAGCAAAACACAAGTGCAGTCACTGAATTAGAACTTTTTTAACTTCTTCTAATTTAAATGCATTCGGATTAAAGGGAAAGAAACACCCTACATATTTGTTAAAGAATGTTGCATAGCCTTACCAAATGAAATGGGAGGCACTGGTGAACCCCAGGCTAAAGTGTACACAGACTTCTTATGGTACACCCTGGAAATCTGTGGACGTCTTTGGAGTGGAAGGTGGTGCAGAACAGAGGAAGATTTAAAAGTTAAAAAGCAATAGTGAAAATAAACAATGTTTTACGAAAATGATTTTACTACAAACTCATTTATTCTTTTAAAAATCATTTCAGAACCTTCTTCAGTTGATTGGAAAAAAATATTTAATATATGAAGTAAGCCAAAATATAGAAAAACTAGCCCTAAATATACCTTATCTAGAAAACATAGTCAGTTCTCAACCAGTGTGGGATTGTTTTGTTTTGTATTGTTTTGGTTTGTTTTATCGGTCATGGGAC